ATTATTATTATTATTATTATTATTGTTGTTGTTGTTGTCGCACGCGCCCACGCCCCCACACACGCACGCGCACACACAGCATGCACACGCACGCACGCACGCACGCACACGCACGCACACACGCTGACTGACACACACGCGCGCACGTGCGTACATGTAACAGACGATCGCGGTTGGTTTGTTGGCTCGCCGCCAACCCACTTCCGGTGGCCTTCGCGCCCGCATTTACAACGATTTCGGTATATACCGGCACATGTGCGTCGCCGCTCTCTCTCTCTCTCTCTCCCTCTCTCTCTCCGTCTCAGCGCAGCCAGCCAGCCTGCCAGCCTGCCAGCCGGCCAGCCTTCGCAGCTCACTCTCTCTTCCTCACTGCTATCCGCGCACACGCACGCAGTAACGTCAGCAGCAGCAGCAGCAATAGTCTTCGGTGAAAACCTATAGCGCACACACGCGAGAGCAGAAGATAGCTGTGAACTCTAGTAGCGGGGGGCTGCCTACGCGCATGCACGCGCGCTGCCGATGGATGGATGATGTGACGCAGAGTGCAACGCACGTCTGCGATGTATGATCATCATCATCATCATCATCGCCGTCATCATCATCAGCCACGATGCTAGCTCTACCGTACTGTGAAGACAACGACGGCTAGTAATAGCGCTATCTGTGCTGGTGACATTGTGGGAGTTACCCGCAGCGAACACACACACACGCGCGCACACGCGCGCACACACTGACTGACACACGGAAACGAGTGAGGATAACGGAGGGAGAAAGATAGCGGAAAGTGAAGGAGAAAAAAACAAAGAAGAAAGAGAAGAATTGATGTGATAGTGTCGTATTAGGACAGACTACTCCGCGCCGTCTGGATAAATATCTGTTTTTGAACGCATGTGATTCGATTACACTACAAGGTAATGTGAACCCGCATGTCTTGTCTTTCGCATAATATACGGTGTGCGAGAATTATCGTCATTTTACGAAGTGTTGATAAAGAAACCTTTCTCTTTTACTCCAGGTTCTAGTAGTAGATAATACATGCTCAGCGTTAGTACAACCATTCCATCAATGTCACCTAGGATTTTTTACTGCCAGTCTATTATATCGTTTCGATTCGGGTTAGATTAGGGTTAGTGTAAGGAATTTAGGTTCTGAGTAATTTAGGTTATGGTTCCGAATTAGGATTATGGGCACATGAGGTTCTATTAGGATTTAGCTGTTCCTGGTAAGTTTATATTCTGTCCCAGAATAATGCAAATTTCGTAAATATATTCGATTGCGAAATTTAGTTACCGTGTCTTGTAAATTTCGTTATCGCGATGTTTACGAAGTCCACGAGTATTCGGAGGCAGACTATAAACTCCGTACCACGAACAGCTAAATTTAAACAGAACACCATATGTACCTTACCCATATTATATATATATATATATATATATATATATTATAGCGATATAAACCGTCAGCAATAACGTAACGCTGTGACCAAAGTGTTATTAATGCAGTAGATAAGTATGGATAAACATTTTACATTTCGAAGATCAAATCACACATACCTACGCATCATCACACATTAGGACACAAGTTCGCCACGCTTGTAGTCTGAGAATAAATGGTGACGTAATGTAATACCGTTATGTGTTGCTAATAGAGGTATGGTAGCGTAATATAATACTAATGGGTAGAAGTAGATATCACATAAAATAACAGTATACCAAGAACTGATAACACCTATCAGTTCTTGATTATATCTTACAAGTAAAAATCACGCAGAATAACTTTATATCGGAAAAGTGAGGGCCACGCAAAATATCATTATATTGTAAAAGAGGGGTCACGCAAAATATAATTATAGCATAGAAGCAAGAGTTCCACATTGGGTTTTCCACATTGTGAATAAACGTAGAATGAACCCCGTGCAGAGACATAGATTCGAGTATCTAAATGCATCTCAGCTTGGCTCGTCTAACAACATTTTTAATCGTTTTTTTGATTACACGTGTGTAATACTGTTCTTACCTTAACGGCATACATTGCGGGTTCATTGGCTTTTAACATTTATAAGAAATAGGTTTCGGTTATGATAGCAATTATTTTTAACTAGCATGCAGCTTGAACCCATAAACCCCTTATTAATTTTATACGTTTATACGATTGCGAAATAAACCCTTTACTGTATTCGTATAATAATATATAAACATGTGTATATAGTTCATGTCGAGCACTAATCATGAATGATCCTAATATATTCGTTTAACTATCTATTTGCGACGTGTTTTGGTTAGGGCAGCGTTATCTAATATAGCGCGATGATTGAATATTGCAAGTTGGCCAAAGATTCGTGTTTACTATGAACCGGTAGCGTGGGTGGTAATCCCCCCCTAGCGCATTGAAGCGGAATGGTCCGGTCCACTCAACCCTCAATGTATAATGGTTGCGCCCGGAAGTCCCGGGGGAGGTCCCCGCGTTGCCACTGCCCATATTTGGCAAGTGGAAACCGAAGAGAAAGGACGGGTGTGCACGTTTTCTATCCGAATTTACGTTAAATGGTCGGTCTGTGATCGCGTGTGTTGTCGCTAAGACGTCGACGAGGACCATGTGAATACACGGCCGACGTTTGAGAGGTAAGTCGACTACCGCAAACCGCTGAAAGCGCCAGCTTTCCCCGCTAGCAACGTCCCCGCTCCGAATTTCATTCATGAAAATGGCTGCGCACAGCCATTGCCGGCGCGTTGTCGTGTGGTCGATATCGACAGAGCTTGTTGTTCTTGCTGCTGCTGCTGCCGCCGCGCCGTTCATACGGCCGTAACGACGGAACCGTGCTCGGGCTAGCAGGTAACCCACTTAAGCACTGTACGATCGCCGTTGATTTTCTCCGCCGTAATTCTTTCGTGTACAAGACTGTCAAGAGTTCAATTATTGATCCATCATAGAACGAGCGTATGCTGTTGCGTGAACGTGCCGGTAAACAGTGGCGAGAGATAAGATAGGTGTAGGCAAGCAAGCAAGCAACTGTGTCGGAGTGCGGGGGCGGTGTACGGCTCTGCACGTGTAGACAACACACTAAATTCCATGAATGGAACTCTAGGCGCTTGGATGTGACCGCCGACGCGCGCGTGCGACGCGTTAATCGTTACGTGGGTATTTGCGTGTGCGATTGGCCGATGCTGTCGGCATGACAGATGTTCCAGCGCTACTGTAATGGGTACCCATCTTAGTGATGCTAGTTTAGTCGCAGTAGTTAGTAGTCACTCACTGCAAGGAAGAATGGAAGGAAGGTTTCGCACGACCTGCTTTCAACTTTTTTTTAACGGAAATAGGGTGTTTGCTAATACCCGGTAACATTTATGGTCTGCGAGAGTTCAGATTTTTAATAGTGGAAAATTACAATTTAGTCTTATATTTAGTTAGTATAGTTAATATTAAAAACGTATTAAATTGTGGGACCCCATACGTGAAGTAATACGTGCACGCACGCACGCGCACACACACAGTTGGTGATCCACCTAGATGATCGGTCATAAACAGGTAACATGGTGAGATGAATATATACACATGTTGCATGTAGTAGGTCATCATCATGCATTGAGTACTGAACGCGCTGCGGGCTGCAGCTGTTCACTCACTCACGCATAATAATAACATGTTGTTTGTTTTGGGGCTTGCGAATTTGTGCACAGGTTAGGTACACGTCTGTCTCAGACAGTGCACGAGGGGGGGGGGGTAAATTTTTGGGTTAGCATATGTAGCAGGACTTGTTGTGTGTTGGCCTACTTCTGCCCCATGCTCGTTTTTCAGCATATTTCCCAAAATATTTTTTTGCATTTTTAAAATATTTTTTAACTTTTGTGTTTTCAATAATCTGAGATCTCCTACGGCCAAGTAGCGCAGTGCCAGAGTCTTGTGGATCGTATTTACAGCTATTTAAAAAAATTTAAACCGATGGATTACCAGTGGCATACCAGATGAACTACGTGTGTCTGACCTTGGTTCCTGTTTTACCTTGTAGACCTATCCCACATTGGCCCATTAGACCTTCTCCTATCAACATCCTCCAATCAACATTTGAGCTAGTCATCTGTAGCACATTCAAGCTTGTCCTAGTTAAGTTTTACATATCTTTATCAAGTCAACCTTGCTCTTATTGACCTCTCAATGACCTCATAATAACCTTTTCTTAACCAACCTCTAAATGATTGACTTTGTTTTATATATTGTAGTTGACCTTGATCTTGTTATGCTTGCAGGAGCCTTACAGTGTAATCGGCAAGTAGTTCCAGTTCGACCTTGACATAATTTAACTTGTGCTATACGTCTTAATAATTGACTTTGAACTTGTTTTGCTTGCAGGAGACGTATAGCGTAGTCGTCGCGTAGTCGCGAGCGAGGAGGAGGAGGAGGAGAGATGGCGCAGATCGTGAACCCAGCGCTGCCGACCGGCGGTCACTTCACGGCCGTGCGGCCGACGTCGCTGCCCGCGGTGCACGCCCTCCGCGCGACCCCGTCGCCTGTCCGCGAGGTCGTGAGCCTCAGCCACCTGCGGCCGGCAGTCGCCGTCGCCGCGGCGACCGCGGCCGGACGCTCGCAGAACATATACACGGAGTCGCCGGTGCGCAGCAACAGCCACACGAAGCTGCTCGAGGTGTGCTTAGACGGAGGCAGCGGCGCGGGCAGCGAGAAGACGCGCCAGAGCAGCGGAAGCTCGGCGGGCAGCGGTGGCGCCCTCGTCGTCGTCGACAAGCAGCCGTCGAAGACGACAACGTACCGCAAGGTGGCGTGCAGCGGCGGCGGCGGTGGCACGAAGCAGCAGCGCGGCAACAACAACGTCGCGCCGCCACCGCCGCCGCAGCAGCAGCACGCGCCCGAGGTGATCATCTGCCCCGAGTGCGGCAAGTGCCGCTGCGCGCTCTGCACGAATCCGCGGCCGCTGCCGGAGAAGTGGCTCTGCGGCAACAAGTGTCTGTGCTCGGCGACGCAGGCCGTCGACTACTGCACGTGCATGAAGTGCGTGAAGGCGGGCTTCTACCTGTGCGCGGGCGACGAGTCGGACTCGGGCAGTGAGTCCGTCGACGAGCCGTGCTCGTGCGCGCCGGAGCAGCGCGGGTGCGCACGCTGGACCTGTCTCGCGGCGCTCTCCCTCGCGCTGCCGTGTCTGCTGTGCTACTGGCCGCTGCGCGCATGCACGAGACTCGCTGAGCACTGCTACAACTGCTACCACGGCAGCGGCTGCCACTGCCAGCACCGGCCCGCGTCCGCCCGTGACGCCTTCGACCGGCGCCTGCTCGACCCCAACTCGGACTCGACGGGGTAGGGGGCGCCGCCGCGGCGCAGCGAGGGAAGGTCGGAGGAGACCATGTACAGTATTGTGTGCTTTCAGTAGTCGAACGAGGAGGCGTGCTGGCATCGGGCCGGGCAGCTAGCCTGCCAGCAGGTGGCGCTTCTGTGTGTGGGACGAGGCGAGCGGGAGGCTAACGGCAGAGGCAGCTGAGCGGACGAGACAAGTGAGCGTGCGGGCGGCACACCGAGTGGAGCTCACCCGACGGCGCGTACCTGTAAGATCTATGTTTAGTATAGAGGGCGCCGGCGCGAAAGCCCGCCGCTCGTATTTACGGTTTGTGAGTTTTGCATGCGTTTCCGCATATCTTCATCGTCTGATTCTTCCTCTGGTCGTCCGTAAGGATGATCTTGGAGAATCACACACCCAAACTCGAGTTAAATTTTCATTCGATCCCCAGTTAAAACCCTCGAGCGTGGACGATGTGGGTAGGGTTGGGACTCGTCGCGGCCCCCGGAGAACAACGTAAAGTGTGGCGTTGTAACGTGTTACAGTGCGTACGTGACAACCGCAATGATCCATCTACCAAAACATTTTGTTCTTTAAAGTCGTTGCATCTTCTCCCTGGTTGCTTCTCGTAGCGGGCAAGCTCTGAGAGCGCAATACTTAAAATTCTCATGCTGGGTCATTAATGAAGCCAAAATATTCCGGCAGGTTAGCTTACTAATTAGCAGCCTTCGTGTCGTGAAATGATCAACGGAGCTATTCGCTTATTTCTGTCGCTGAATATGCTATGGGTACATACAATGGCCTCGGGGGTTAAAGTCCCATGTCTGATTTAAAAAAAAGAAGGTACGGATAATTTGAATTGGGAATCCATGAAATATCTTGCATGTCTGATTCAAAAATCCCTGCACCCCGCCCCACCGCCTGCACCGCCTGCGCGTACACACCCGCCCACGGGCACGCACGCACGCACGCCCACCGGCCTGAACGCACACACAACCGCACACGCACCGTAGCATGCATGATGTAGCTTCAGGTATCACGATGTGCCTTCTTACAACATGATGTGCCTATACGCGCATCACGATGTTGCCACCACGTAGCTCTACCGGTGTAGCCCCCCCCCTCCCCCTCCTGCCCGCTACAGGGGACTACGAACGGGCCACACCGGTAGAGCTACCGTGTAACATGATGTGGCTCCTACGTGCTACACTATATCAGGAGTGAATAATAGAATATAATAATTCTCTATTATTCACTCCTGACTATATCATGCCACGGTGCGTGAGCAGCACGTGATGGTAAACAAGCAGGCTGCTGCGTGGCGGCGACCCACGCCAGCCGAGACGCGGCGCCGCCGCCGCCGTAAGGAAAGCTTCTTTGTCGGCTATTATTTGCGGCGTGAATAGAGGCAGCGGAAGTGGGATGGATCGGCTCGCTGAGTCGCAGGCCAGCGACGAACGCGGCGCGGTTTCCCGTTACTGACCTGCCCTCCCCTGAAAACAAGCGAACGGCTGCGGCGCGGAGCGGACACAAGCGAACAGTTACGAGGCAGAACGAAAACAAGCGAACAGTTACCGGGCAAAGTGAAAACAAGAGAACGGTTACGGGGCAAAGTGAAAACAAGGGAACGGTTACGGGGCGAAGTGAAAACAAGGGAACGGTTACAAGCACAGCGCGAAAACAAGCGAACAGTGATGGGGGGAAACAACAACACGGGAGCACACTAGCCACACGCGGGTAATAGGCTTGGACCTTAGCTACACACACACACACACACACACACACACACACACACACACACACACACACACACAGACATACGTACGTACATATACATACGTACATGCATACATACATGTACTGGTCAGTGTTATATGTATACTTGCACGTCTAGCTTTGGCATGTGATGCAGTGGGCACCTCAGCTATGTATACATTATATTCGTATGTTACCATAATTGGCATGGAAATTTTTAAATTTCTAGACTAATAAGATTTTAAGTGGTTGTGACTATTAGTGCATGTATACATTACAAAGAAGGTCGAAGAGAACCAAATTAAGTTTATGCATTTGTGAGGTTGTTACGGATAAATGTTGTCTTGCGTCGACGACTGTCCCCAGGCGGGAGGTTGTGCGCATGTAGGAATAGCGAGCAGGGGTGTGTCCACCTGTGGGAAGAGCTCCCTCGCTGCTGCGTGAGCGGGGAGCGTCAACGCACGTGGAAACAGCATCCTGGATGATGTGCGTGCGTGTGCGGTAACACTAGAAAGTTTCAGGGAAATATCAGATCTATAGATGTAGTGGTTGATTGACACTTGAGTGCGCAAGTTCGTTCGTTTTGTCTAAGGCGGCGGATTTGTAGATGTTAATTCTGCGTCTCGCCGGATCTTGCGAGAATTATACGTCGTTTTTGCCTACCCTGCACAAACAGCCCGTCTTGTCACGTCAGGTTACATTTATCGAGTCTAGTATGTGTGGGAGAAAAGGGGCGGCTGTGCAGGGTATCATGTACATGAAATTGCTTCTAAGAGTAGTAGTGTTGTTGTACGGTAACATTTCATCGTTAAATATTGCCTGTCCATGCGCGTAAGCTATTGTAAAGCATCCCTGTACATAGTTGCCCCCAACAGTCATTATACGAGGAGAATATTTATTGCTTCCCTATCTCTTGGCAGTCCTTCGAGAGAGTATTTTAATAATAAGCTATATTTATTTGTGAAAAGAGACAGAGCGTGACCCTTTGCGTCGTCGTACTAAACTGTATGTGAATAAAAACCCATTGTAGTGATTTACGTGAACCGAATTTTAATGCTTTCTACTTTGTTGTTGACCAGAAGAACACACCAAGCGCGCGTTCGCTCGCGTTGCATCACAAACTATGCCATTATTGCTGTCATCGCTCTCACACTAAGTCGAACGTTCGCGTATAGGGGCGTTCAAGTTCACACGCGGGTTAGTCACGTGAAGCACTTTGATGAACTCGGGGTCTGCCGCCTGGATTCACCCACACGCGAATAGATTAGAAGATGCTGTCATATTAATTACAATCCGCTCATTTACAGTACTTTCATTTTAAACTCTGGGCTGTTCCACAGCGAATGGAGGGAATCTGCTGTGATCCGCTATCTCTCACCCCCCCCCCCCACCCCCGTGTGTGCTGGTGCGCTCTTTGGCGTTCGGAGCTCGTACAGCGAGCGCGTGTTTAACAATCCCACACACGCGGCCTTTGTTGTCGAAAAACACCGGCAGCGTAAAACTTTTTTTTTCAGTAAACCCCTTTTCCCTCGGCGATGTGGAGATGACGCCGCTCGTCTGCCGTGAATGCGTGCCCCGCACGCGGCGCGCGTGCATGCATCCATCCTTGACACGCATCCGTCTGTGCTCCCTCTCTATACGTGTGTAAAAAACGTTGACCTGCCCCGACCACAGACGCGCTGCGTCACAGGTGTGCTTAACACAGTCTCCCACAGTAATCTATTCTTATGTACACACGGAAAGAGAGACAGAGAGAGAGAGAGCGAGAGCGTGCGTGCGTGCGTGCGTGCGTGCGTGTGAGGAGCAAAGGGGGATCGTACGTGAGGAATGCCGTGTGTAACGTGTGAAAGGGATTCAGCAATGTGGCCCTAGCTGTGAAGGCGAGAGCAGCGAGTGAAATTTGAAGAGCTTTCATTTGATGCTTTCATTACTCATACTGTATTTGTGCTGGTCTACTGTATTTGTGCTTATTTACTATATTTCATGCTGCAAAATCTCTGACAGGCGAGCTAGTTTCTGAGTTTCTAGTCGCACTCGTGCAAGATTATTCAGTCCGATCATTCATTTGTCGCAGTCGACACATTGTAATGTTGATTACATGTGTTGGTCCTCCACCAGGAGGCGATACTAGCACGGCCGATCCTCCACCAGGAGGCGATACTAGCACGGTCGATCCTCCACCAGGGGGCGATACTAGCACGGCCGAACCTCCACCAGGGGGCGATACTAGCACGGCCGAACCTCCACCAGGAGGCGTTACTAGCACGGCAGGCCATCCACCGGCAGGAGCTGTTGCCTGCATGGATTGCGTGGGCGTGCGCTCGCTGCATCTTGCTTCTCAGCCTCTCGTCGTGCGATCGCTGCATCCCGCTCCTCAGCCTCTCGTTGTGGCTTCATCACCGTCGTCGTTGTCGATCGAGGGGCAGCCACCGCGCTCGTTGCGTGGGCGTGCGGATGCGAGATGAAAATCGATGCGACCCGCAGCCTCCGCTTTCGCTCGCTCGCACGAACGTGGCTTCCTCCTAATGCGATGGATTTTCCGTTGGTCCCCGTCTCGCGAGAGGGAGGCGTCGCCAGGGTGCGACGTGCCGGCGGATTGGTCAGCGCCTGTGGGTGGCTGGGTGCACGGGGTGGGGTGGGAGTTATTAAAATCGAGGAAAGCCCAGATGTAGGAGGTTCGTGTTATCATGCAATGAATGTATTGACGTGAAAATACGTGTGATTCTTGCTGGGTCACTCTCTGCGACACGTAGAACACATATTTACTGGAATATATTTATTATTACATATGCCCGTGCCACCGCTGCGCACAGAGAGAGTCACTGTATATAATACTGTATAGAAGTGCACAAGTGATACTGTATGTGCATAAAGTACTGCTGCTGTGTGGAACCTTCTTATTACTGCAGTTGATACTCTGCAGACGCGCAAACTGTATGCGTACATGCACGGTGGAGGGAGTAAGAAAGAGATAGCGAGCGAGAGAGAGAGAGATATATAGAAAGAGAGGCAAATGGAAAATAGAGAAGGTGACAGGAGAGAGAAATGGAGAGGGAGAGAAGAGGGCGAGGGAGAGGGAACGACAATGAACAAGAAGGAAAGAGAAAGAGAGCGAGTGAGAGAGGACGATGTGTGTAACTCATCTCACATCCATGCTCCAGATGCGGCTGCTGCGTGGGTCGGGCTGCTGCTACTGCTGCTGCTGCGTAGGGCTGGATTACACCCCCGCTGGTTCATTGTGTCATTTCCTGCTGGCGAAAATAGTGAACACATGTACAACTCTTTACCGATAAACGCAAACGCTACTGTGCGCTGCTTATGACATCTACTGGGACAGTTTAGCCTGGTCTCACACAGCTGTAGGTTATGTGTAGACTATGTGTAGTCGTCTATGGTGTGGTCGCAGCTGAACGTTACGCTATCTATTTACAGCGTATAGCGTGATGTAGGTTAGGCCATGTACAGCCCTTCGCTTTCCGTAGGGTATACTATCTACAGTGGTTAGGGTTAGGGTTAGGGTTGGTTATGTAGCTTACTGTGGGTTAGATTATATGCAATCTATAGTTTAGTTAGTATTGTTAGAAATAGCTCGGGACTGGCCGTGTTGTGATTTTCGACCGTTGGTTAGAATTAGCATAAGGGGGATTAGGATTAAGGTTAGAGTATCCACAGTTTTTTTTGTAAATCTTGATCACTACTGTGTGTTAACCTATTCTATAGCCTACGTCGTGGTAGCTGCTATTAGGAGCATGTGATTGACCGTGCTATGGTCTTTTTCCGTGGGTAACCGATCCACAGGAACATCGAGTCTGTGAACACGTTTAAAGTTGGTAGCAAACAAGAGTTCAGTTATAGCGGCGAAATAGATATACGTGTTTGTATATCGTCTCGTGTACAGTTGTTATACACCCAGCCCGAGAAAGAGAACTTGCTTCTCTGTAGCGCGGGGAACGTGTACGTACTCCGACGCTTGTAAGACCCATGTGGCTGTAATAGGTAACCAAAGTTAAGTTGCATTTACCCCCCTCTCCCACTCTTCCTCTCCCCCTCTCTTTCTCTCTCTTTCTCTCCTTCTCTCTTTCTGTGCACTGGCAAATTGACCAGCATAGTTCTCCGTACATCCACCTAAACAGCTGTC